ACTCCCTAGAGTGAGCCTATGTCAGCTTTGCAGAGGTTGAGATAACTCTCTGAAGCCCTTGGAGGGATCTGCAGACATTTGGAAATAGTAAACAACCTGCAAAAGCAAGTTGGTTAAGCAGAGAAAACACTGTTCTCACATCACAGGTCTGTTTCTTAGTAACTATATACCTTCAGGGCATTTGCTCCACTTCTATGAGCCCCAAGAAAGTGCTAGTGATAATAATCGTCTATAAGCTGGTATTGGCGAATTTGTCAGTATGATGTTGTAAATTAGTTCAGTTCAGTTCAGTTCAGTTCAGTCGCTCAGTCATGTCAGACTTTTTGTGACCCCATGGACTGCAGCACACCAGGCTTCCCTGTCCATCACCAACTCCCAGTGCCTACTCAAACTCATGTCCATTGAGTTGGGGATGCCATCCAACCATCTCATCCTCTGTTGTCCCCTTCTCTTCCAGTCTTCAATCTTTCCCAGCATCAGGGTCTTTCCAGATGAGTCAGTTTTTCACATCAGGTGGCCAAAGTATTGCAGTTCCAGCTTCAGCATCAGTCCTTCCAATGAATATTCAGGATTGATTTCCTTTAGGATGGACTCGTTGGATCTCCTTGCAGTCCAAGGGACTCTCAAGAGTCTTCTCTAACTAAATTAGTTACCCTTTCCTAAAACTCTATTGAATACCTTACTCTATGGGAAGGCAATTGGTCATACCACCTTCTAAACAGAGTATAAATAAAAATAAATAAATACATAAACACATAAATAAATAAACCCTGATCATTGCCTTAGTGAGCATCTAATATCCAGTCTAAAAATGATACAAAACAATTTTCAAAAAATTGTAGCAACCTATTTATATGTGCATGTATGAAGCATAGCTTTCTGAATACATCAAGACTACTTTATATTTCCCCTGCCTCCCTCCTTCCTTCACCCTCCTCATTCTCCCTCTCTCCATCTCTCTCTTTCTCTTTCTCTCTCTCTCTCTCTCTCACACACACATACATACACGAATTGAATCCTGATGCACTGCTGTCTCCGTCATCCTCAAACACGTGCCTTACACTTGTTCAGTTAATAGATAACTATTCTCTAGCCAGTTAATTTGAACAATAAAAAACATGAGGCTTTTATAGAGATAAAGTACCCAAGAGAATCAAAGATGCTGGTAGCTGCTTGTTTAGTGACAGAGGACTCTGTGATTAAAAGCAGAAGACAGCAGACAAAGGCCCCTCTGTTTGCACCCCTTGTTGGCTCCAAGCGAGGTGGAGCCCCACTTCTTGTAACACCAAATTTCACATTGTTTTTTATGAGCAGAGGGTCCATTTCTAAATTGCACCTCTGGATTTAAAAGAGGAAATTTAAACCTCAGAATAATGTTTTTTGCTGAACAAAACGTATGCCAAACTAAGCTCGGACTGACTTCTGTTTTCTGAGTCCCAGCCTCCCAAGTTTTCTCGTGTTTCCAGTACTGGGCCGAACTCACTGGCTTTTGCCATTTCCTTCTGTGTTATGGTTAGGTGGAAAAGGGGTGAGAAGCAGGGGTACCACATCCTCAGGTTCACTGGGTGGGTTTGGGGATGCCCAAAAGATCCAGAGGGCCACTTTTGATTCATTAGTTGAGATGGGCTGGCTCCTATCAACTGTACTTCACGTAAGGCACCAATATGTTTTTCTAGGCATTACGGGAAAAAAATTCTAGCAAGAAAGGGGAAAACACCACACAAAACAGCAATAAGTCTGGCTTTCCTTCCCCAGCCCCACAAAAGACCGTTTTGTAAGATGAGGAAAAGCGGTGCTTTGCTTTCTAACTGAACAATGAAGCGTTTGCATCTTTAATCCAAACTGTCTGCCCGCTTCCCTGGATTTCGGGACAATAGTCCAACTTCTCACCTTCCGCCTTGAGCAGTTGAACCCACACACTTTAAAATAATATCCATCAGCAGCTGACAAACTGGTTATTCTTGGACCACAACTGATGCTGGCAAGAGGAGGTCCAGGCAGACAAGGATAAATGAGAATAAAATTATTCAGTTCTGCTCGCCGTGGCCACTGCATCAGCTGTCATCCTCAAAATTCCCACAGAAATGAGTTCATTCCACCTTTGAAACATTTCAGAGCTTAAAAGTTTAAATCAGGCCAAGTTGATTCTGTGGGATTTTTCTAGCTTTTACACTGTAATTATATGCAGGATTTTGTGCCACCTATTTCCTCTCAACTGTAACATTTTACGTCTTTTTTAAGCGTACGTTGAGGTTAGCTTTTTTTTTTAGTACTTGTTATGAAATAAGATATGAGCTTATACTCAGCTTTAGGTAGCTTTCTGCCAAAAGGCTGGACCAACACAAACTAAATATGACTATTTTCTTTATCCAAAGTACAGTTTTGACTATTACATACCCTCTTAACATACATACATAAAACTAGCTCACAACGAAAGCTCCCTGCAGGTCAACTGAAATCATAACGAGATTTTCCTTTCATATAATGTGATTAACAAATGTTAGCTAACCGAACTCCTAAAAGACTCAAAGGAAAAAAGCAGAATAACTCAAGCAATGCCAAAAATCAAATAACTCAACAATCTTTCTATTTGTTTCCTTGCTTTTTCACGTCTTTAACTTGGAAAATAGCCTGTTTCACTTGACTATAGGGATGTGCTCCAGAGGCAGGTGAGAGTGAGTTCCAGCTCCACTATTTACTAAAATATGACCTTTACAAGCTACTAAATCCTCTAGCCTCAGTTTCCTCATCTGTAAAATGGGGGGAGGGGTAAAAATCTTCAAAAGATTTTTGTGAAGATTAAATGAAATGATGCAGTCTTCAATAAGTGCCAGCAAATAAAGTATTTCCTAAGTGTTAGTTATTTCTGACACTACCTGTTTGCTAAATAAGTCTACCTTCCAGCCTAAATATAAAATTGTCACCTAGCCTCATGGTAGGCTAGGTGCTTTGAAATTCATATACTGCAGTGGGTCCCTTGGAAACTTACAAATAAAGAAACAGTTGTCCATCTAGCCTTACTCAACTTTATCAAGTACTACAAATGCTTGGGAAACAATAATAACTATAACAACTTGGGCCCCATAAACCTAAACCTCTGCAAAAGTCACGGTAACATATCACTGAACCTTTCAGCTAAGGCGAACTTTGAGGCATCCTCTGAAAAGCAAGCGAGTCAGAATGCGAGTCTCGACTTTATGTGTTTGGAAAGGATTTCTGATTGCTCTCATGAAGGCAGATACCTCCAAATGTTACTCAAAGATATAAATGAACCTACCACCCTTCTGAATATAATCAATATAAGTATCGCTCCAGAATTCCAACCGACGTATCTTTTTTCTTCAGATTCACTCTTCCTTCAAAACAGCAAGGTCTTAATAGCAGTAAGCTGCACTTTTGGGGAAAGGCACTATTTCCACCAGGGCAAGAACACCAAAAAAGGAAAATGCTATATGGAGAATTTTCATACTATTTGGGAAAAGTTTGCAAAACCCAAACTCTGCGTTTAAACATTATAAACGTTATTGCTGAGGAGAAAAACAATAGTTTCACATGTGGAATTCCAAATTCATTTAAATATTACCCCATTTTCTGAGATCTTATGAGATTAAGATAAAATAATTCACTAACACTATGCAGATAGAAGAAATAAAGAAATCATCTCCTTTCCACCCGCACCACACACACACACACACACACACACACACACACATACAGAGGCAGACACACTACATTTGTAAATACACAACTGAACCAAAATTTAATGCAAAGCTCCTTTTCAACAGGTCCTTTGGTGAAAAATCATTCATTAACAAGGCAGCTCATAAACACAAACCTAATTGTCCCTCTCTCAGCTCTCTTTTGTTAAAGCAGCAACACTTATCATCTCTGGAAATGGAATGCATTTTTACCTCTATTTCTGCTGATTTCCTTGGTCTTCAGAACCTGATAATCATTTGATACAGACATTCACCTTCACCCATTTATCATTTCACAACATTGACCTCATCTCTTGTCATGAAAAACTTCGGGTAGTTTAAACCCAGATGGCTTGGCTTTCCCCTAAACAGAGAAAATTCCCTTCTCTGGTTGCATACAGCATGTTGATCTGATAACAAGCAGTCATCTATCATTTGGGGGCTTTGCATTTGACTTTGACTGCCTTAATGTATTTCCAACAGGGTTTTGTGATGTGTAGTTTTTAATCAAGGCTTGCCAAAAGTGATTGGCATGTAAAAAACTTTTAAACAAAACTGTTCTTTGTGAGTCGCTATTTCAGCTCAGAAATTCTTATTCATATAATTTAATCTCCCCCATGTGTTTATTTATTAGATCTTATCATTAACTATAAAGCTAAAATAAGCTGAAACAAATCATTTTTTTAATCTACCAGCCAGCGCTAGTGTTAACTAAGCAGCTGACAGCCAAGTGCCATCCTCTACTAAGGACAAAATGTCCTTTCTGACTCGTGGCTTCCAAATCAGATATATAAAGTTTGTTTTTGAGAGCTTAGGATATAAGGGGCAAAGAAACTCAAGATTACATCTTGTCCCCACATTTGTGCTTTGTGACTCTAACCTCTCTTTCCCCTTGTCATATACCTTATCCCAGACCTTTATACCTAAATGTTATCATTTTCACACTGAGTTCAGACAACAGAATCAGAGCAGAAAGTTTGGTGGCACCTATGATTTGGTGGCAATAGCCATTCCCAGGAGCAGAAATGCAAGTGGTAATTACCACTGAGGTGATGCTATACCAAGTCCATCTTAAGTTTACTTCTGCAACCTGATGTCAAAGATAAACATCTCCAGTCTGATGAAATAGAAACTTCCAAAGTCCATAAAACTTGGAAATTCAACGGAATTCAATTCATCAGCCATCTGCAGTTTTGTAATGACCAAAAGCAACTTTTAAGATCTGGTCATAAAATTACAGCTAAAGGATTCACCTTGTCAGAGGGAGCAATTGATTTCCCATTACCTGATCTCCATACTCACCATGCAGACACACATTATACAAGGGTTATCCGTGATAAATGGAATCTGGAGTACTTCACCTTCATTTTCACATTTTGCAACAGAACCTGGAGGGGAAAAAAGTTATTTAAATTTAGCTGCATGGCCTTGTTACAAAAATAGAATTTTTATACTAATACTTTTTGAAAAAACTATTTCCAAATTTCAAAAATCCCTAATGAGTTTTAAATAATCAAATTCACCCAAAAAAGTCCTCCTGAAAAAAACCTACTTTAAATAATTTTATTAGAACAGGTTTTTTTTAAAGCCTGTGCTATATAGATGTATTTTGTGCTCTCAGATGGTTGGTTTAAGCACAATTCCAAGTATTTCATTGGATCTTTAATAATACCTCTCCTTTATAAAACCATTTCAACTAAACAAACATTCCCATAAGCAAAAAATTCAAACTGGCCTTTAAGGCAGATTTTAAATTTGAACAGAATTCAGGACTGTGTCAATGAACAGGCCTTTATATGAATCTGCCTCATATTGTGTTGAATTGAAATTACTTTTCGAAATACAATCTTCTTTCCTCTTTTCTTAGAAATAGACTCAATATTTTCTTTTCTGCACCAGGTGTCAGTAAAGTATGTCCTTCAGAATAGCAGCTGAGGTCTTCACCTGCCTGAAAGCATATAATTATTATATCCTGCTATTATTACCCTTTTAAAATATGATAGTTTCTTTAAATTCAAGATCTGTAGGGTGGGTGCTTTAAAGATCACTACCAGTAAAGAAGCTATATCGGAACCCTATAGAGAGAGACAGGCCTATGGGTGGAAAACGATGCAGTTTCTTTTTTTCTTTTTCTTTTTTTTTCTTTAATTGCATACGGGAGAAGAGATCAAACTAAAGGTTGAAGAAAACTAAAGATAATAAAGGAACTTTTCAAATTCAAATAGAAGAATTTCCGTTATCACTACACTATTAATGTCAACAGCCTGCCCGCTCCCCACTCACTGCTTTCCCACCCCTTAACCCCGAAGGGCTTCCTTCATCCCCATGCGCCAGCGAGGAGCAGGCTTCAAGGTGCTCGTTCCCCACCCTCCCCGGGGCCGGTCAGCGCTTTCTCTCCCAGGTACCAAGCCAGCGTCTGGGAGGGTCGGTCCCTCCCGACCCCTCCCCTACCTGTCAAGAAGGAGGAAGCCAGAGACATGGGGACCCCCGAGCAATTGAGCAGCAGCAAGACGCAGCAGGTAATCCCGGGCGAGCGCCGGCAGGGACGCTCAGCCAGAGCCCTGACGCCGGAGAACCAGAGCATCGTCACCTGGAGGGAATCCCGGGCGACTGCAGGTCCCGCGCCGCCGCCTGTGCTCCGCTACCGCCGCTCGCAGTCCAAAAGGGCTCTCAGCCGGCGAGTCGGGAGACAGTCCGCGAAGGAGGGAGGCGGGCGCCCGGGAGCCTGGGGCGGGGGAAAGGTGGGGGTGGGGGTGGGGGGAGGTTGACGGGGGGAGAGGCGGGAGAGCGAGGCGAGGGGTGGGGGGCGCCCAGGGAGGAGGGGTCCTGCGGCCAGGCTCCTCCAATGCAGCTTTTTTTTTTTTTTTTTTTTTTTTTTAAGGAGTTGCTCGCAGCGGTTTAGTCGTCGGCTCCTCCACGCCAGAGAGGGGGCCAGGAGGAGGGGGTATCGGAACTGCGGGAGATAGGCAGAGAGGCGTGGCTGCGCTGCCCGCTGCGCACCGCTGCTCCGCCGCCGCCGCCGCCGGGGCTGCAGCTACTGCCCCGGGGCGCGCCGCTGCTGCAGCTGCCGCGTCCTCCACTTCTGCACTCCCACCGCCTACCCGCCCCGCCGGCTCTCCACTCGGTCCGCTCGCACGCTCGCTCCGGCGCCGGAGACCCGGGCGCATCGAGCGCCTCGGGGAACCCGCTGGGGGCGCCCGGACGCAAGAGGGATAGTAGAAGCCTCGCGCTGGGCGCTTGTCTCCGCCGGGGGTTCAGCCAGCTCCCCCAGACCCTCGAGGGAGGCCGCTTGCCCCGGGGCACGGATCGGAGCGAGGCAGGCGTCCCCACCACCCGGAGCGCGCAGCGCCTCCTCCCTTTCCCGGGGGGCGGGTGGGGAAGGATCCCTCCCCTTACGGGGGATGCAGCGCCAACCCTGCTCCTTCTCCGGTGCTCCGACCCTAGGAGGGAGGAGAATATGGGACGCAGGGCGCCCCACCACCGCTCGTTCCCTGATGCCCCAGCTTTGGGAAGGAGTGATAAACCCAGCGCCTGGGGCGGGGTCGGGGTGCGGGCAACTTTTCACTCTGCTTTGCCTTCCTCTGGCTGGGGCACGACGGCCGACAGGCCCTGAGCGGACAGCGGGGCGAGATCACCTCCCAGTGCGTCTGTGTCTGTGCGTCGTGCGACTAGGGAAGACAGAATTTGAAACGACACGCAAGGTCGATTATTACACGCACAGAGGCGAACTCTTTAGCCCTTAAAAAAAAAGAGGAACAGTGGTTCCTTGACTCCTCCCATCCAACCTCGGGCGAACCGGGGCAGGGAGGTGCTTTTTGACTAATCATTCATTCACCCGAGAAAGAGGGAGGGGCCCGCGCGGCGGCTACTCTGGCGGGGACCGCCGCGGCGTTCTCGGGAGCTTGGAGTTGTCGCTTCAGCAGCCCTGGGTATCAAAAGAGTCCGACCCTACCTACCGCCCAGGGATGACCCCGGCCTGATCGCGGCCTCTCTCTCGAGCCGTGGCCCACTCTGCCCAAAGGCGGATATGCAATGGAGGAGAGAATTTTTGTAACCAAATGGGAATTAAGGGACGCTTGGCAAGTATTGGGACCTGATGATCAGCTGTTTTCCGAGCTCACGTGGGTCCCCGGCTTCCTCTCCCTAAGAATGGAAATGGGGGCCCCTCTCGCGGGTCCTCCTGGTGGGTCGGCCTGGGCGGATCCGAAAGGCAATCACGGACTAGCCAAGCACGTTTCTCAGCAGGATGCATCTGACAGTTCCTGGGCAACGTGGGGGTTGTCTGTAGTCACAGAAACTATACCTTTACAAATATATTCGTCTGTTTGCCGACACATTTTGTACAGTTTCCTCCCCCCTTTGGAGTGGGGGGAATGGGGCTGTTTATTTGTTTTTATTTTTTCGAGTCGTTAGAGCCTTCACTTAAGGCTGCAGTGCCCACATCCAGGCACGCCAGGGAGCCTATAAGGAGCGTTGCTCTGACACGGAAAAAATAAGAGAGGGTAAAGCTGTCATTAGCTTAACACGCTCCATTTCCCTCTCAAAACAGATTTTTAGTGTAAAACTTAAATTAAAAGAGGAGAAAGATGACGTGTGGTTGCTTTTTTCCCCAAAAATAACCACCATGGCCAGGCAGCTCCTTGAAAATCAGCATTTAGTGTATTTACTAACGATAAAGAGAACATGCAAAAAGAAGAAAAGAAAAAAGAAATCTCTAAAACTAGCTTGATCTCTATATACTTTTTGATCTATAGTGACCAATCAAAAAATAAAATAAAAACTTTTATGACTCCAGATAAGTACAGTCAGTTGAAACTCTACCCTACAAGGATTCTTTTTGCACAGGGCTTTTATATAAACTTGTTAAGCGTAACTTACTGAAGGAGAACAGAATAATGGGAAGGCTGGGAGACCTTTCATTGCCTTAGATTTCAGCAGTAGACCTGGGTAAATTCACCTTAGAGGATTGCAGAACATTTGAAGAGTGCCTTCCCTGACATCCTCAAGGGTTTGCAGAACAAAAGTCTTTATGATGAAATCTGTGGCATTTCTCAAACTAGGTGCTTTGGGGTATACTGGAACTTCCCCTATGGGTTCAAATGCAAAAACCACCTGGAAAGCATTTTCATCTGCCTGCAAGTTTACCAATGAGAAAGATGTACAGAAGCCTGTCCCTTCTTCCTGTTTGTTTATCAGCTGCCACCAGTGATTTCCTTGCTGCCTTCTGGATAAGTGGGCCCTACTTCTGGAAGAGCATCCTTCTCCCCAAAGGGCTTATCAGTCCTCCACTGCTGCTGCCACCATCCCTTCAACTGACGGTCTATCAGCTGCCAGTTGGCCTCTGTCTACACAAACATGAGATATTTTGGGGTCAAAAATTAAAAATAAAAAGAAGCAAGTATGCAAGAAAAAGTGTATAGATCTGCCTTTACATTTAAAGTTAAGGGCCCCCCACCTTGTCTCAGTTGGGTCCGACTCTTTTTGACCTCATGGACTATATCCCACCAGACTCCTCTGTCCCTGGGCTTTTCCAGGCAAGAACACAGAAGTGGGTTGCCATTTCCTTTTCTAGGGGATCTTCCTGATCCAGGGATTGAATCGGCATCTCTTGCATCTTCTGCCTTAGCATTGGGTCACCTGGGAAGCCAATAATGTTAAGGGTGATACCATCCAAACCCCCAAAAGTTCTTGACTGAAATCAAAAGGAGAACAAATCTGTCTTTGGCTCTGTTTATGACATTTTTCAGTGTAAGAGAGGTAATGGATCCCAAAGATCATCCATTACCTATGGGTAATGAGGACCTGTTCCACTATCAGCCAGAAAAAGCACTATCTTGTCTTCTTTAAAATAAAAGACATAACCTAATCAGACCAAAAGGGAACCAGGCCTGTGGTAGGAGAAATTTTCTTCTCCCAGTAAAACTGTGATGCTGAATCTGCACTGAAAAACCCAACTAAATATACCAGTTAATAACGGTGTATTCAAAGTTACTTCAAGAGAAATTACAGCAACCCAGTTTCCTAAAAATAAAAATAAATAGGCCTTTCAAAAGCAGCAGGGTAAAGGAAATGTGATATCAACCACTAGGGAGGGCCAGAAGTATTCCATAACGGTGTGAGTTTTGTCCTATGAAAGGCACCAGGCATGCCATTTTAGACTTGAGGATAAGGGATAATGTTGCCTTGGAGCTTATAGTCTAGGAGGTGAGATAAAGCATGTTTATAAATGAATGCAGTAATGGGAGAAAATTATTGCAAAGGAAGCAACTGACAAAGGCTTAATCTCCAAAATAAACAAACAGCTCATGCAGCTGAATCTTAGAAAAACAAACAATCCAATCAGAAAGAAGGCAGAAGACCTAAACAGACATTTTTCCAAAGAAGATATACAGATGACCAATAATCGCATGAAAAGATGCTCAATGTCGCTCATTATTAGAGAAGTGTAAATCAAAATTGCAATGAGGTATCACCTCACACCAGTCAGAATGGCCATCATCAAAAAATCTACCAACAATAAATGCTGGAGAGGATGTGGAGAAAAGGGAACCCTCTTGCACTGTTATGGGAATGTAAATTGATACAGCCACTTAAGAACAGTACAGAGATCCCTTAAAAGCCTAGGAACAAAACTACCATATGACCTGGCAATCCCACTACTGGGCAAATACCCTGAGAAAACCATAATTCAAAAAGACACATGTACCGCAATGTTCATTGCAGCACTATTTACAATTACCAGGGCATGAAAGTTTAAAGAAAGAAGAGACTTAGCTTCATGAAGGAGGTGGCATAGGAGCTGAGATTTGAAAAGCAGAAGCTTCAGTAGATGGAAGGACCATCCAGGAGCTGCAGAGGAACAGCAGGGAGACGGGAGATTCATAAAGAGAATGGGGAACAGTCATATAATTGGCTCTGTCAGCTGAGCAGAGCTCTGGGAAGGCTTGATCATGAGAGGTGCATGAGCAGCACTTGGATCCATCTGAGATGAGCAATAGGATGTTAACCATGGAATAAGTGCCTACCTCTTAGAAACAATCAGACTGCATTTCTTTAGAATGCGAAGTATTTCTGCAGATGTATTCATCAATCTGCACACGTATTCATTATTAATCTCATACTGGAGAGCACCATTTCCACCTCCATCTGTTGGAAAGTGTTTGGGTGATGGAATAAGTACTACATCATGAATCAGTTTCTTAATATCAATGGCTGTATGATTCTTCTTGGAATGAAAGTAGAAATTATGCTTTTGACATTTTTTTTTAAAGCACTAGATATCTTCGAGATCATATTAACCAACTTCCTGCCCTTTCCCTTTGAGAATAAGAATTCTGAAGACTAAGAGGGAAATGGCTTGCCCTAGGTCACACAGCTAGTTAATGGCATAGCCCATTTAAACAGAATTCCTCTGACTTCCTGATCATGATGCTTCCCATTACAAGTGTTCTGCCTTCTTGAGTCATAAGACTATAGGAAAGGACCACTGGATTAGATGTGATACAAATTAAGTTATAGAGTTGGCACAGTTGGTACTCAGATGTTTATTGGACTGAACTGCTACCACTGATACAAGTTGGAAGA